CCAAGTTATAATTTTAAGCATTTTGAAAGAAGAATCTGCTCAAAATATATTAGTTTAAACCATATGAAATTAGCACTATTATAGGTCAAAAACTAGCAATGGATTAACCACAGTACATGCCTTCCAACTTTCTTCTACAGCAGGGGTAGGCAAATTTGTTCTTAATAGGATCATAGCCTTTGAGGGCCCAGAATGAAATAGAGATTATGTAGGTATTTATATAACCACTTAAAAATATAAAAAATACCCTCAGCTCCTACAAAACCAGGGAAGGGGCTAGATTTGGTCATTGGCCATAGTTTTCCAACCTCTGTTCTACAGTACACAGGTGTAAACTTTATTCTGATGACGCTCGCAATGAAAATTGCTAATTTTAGAGTAAAACAGTAATGCCCCTGGAGACACTAAAGTAGGTAGAAAAGCTGTTTACCCCGACACTGCTGGCTTTCGTGCTGGCAGTTGGTCTGAATCCCCATTCTGCTGTCAGCAATTCCTTCCCATTGCTATTCATATGTCACTGCTTTTAACTATCTAGTTCATTATACAAGCAATTGTCTGGGTGAGGGCTTGAGGGTGGTTCTAACTTTTCTATGAAGAAAAAAACTGTGTTGTACATTGAAATGGGACTTAAAGGTGATTATGAATAAACATAACTACAGAAAACAACCGGGAGCAAAAGCCCTGTGGGGATTAATCTCAAACATACCCCTGATTTGAAGCAAAAATTCCAAAGGGTCCAAAGGGAAGTAACAAAAACAAATACACATCTACACAGCTGGCCCAAGGCTGAAAAACTAAAGGGAGCAAAACAAGTCTGAGACAAAATGTCCTTTTACAAATAAAGATAAATCATTAAATGGGTAGTAATCATTTTTCTCCTAAGTTAATCAAGGGTAAAGACAAATAGGAAAAGGCTGCAAATGTAGCTGTTCCCAAAAAACCACTGGAAAACCTCAAGTGTGGTGAAACACTGCAAGTCACCACCCAGGGAACTGAAAGAGTCTCCTCCTTTGGCTAAGAAAGAAGAGCCAAGCACTCTATCCCTAATACATGTCAAACAAAGACATAACCAGACCATCTCTGTTCTGGGTCCATAAATATTTTTATATCAAAAAAATTAAAACAATCCCTGGGAAATGTTTTTAATTGATGGCATTACTCTTGTTTCAAATGTTATATATTGTGATGAAAAAGGAAAGCTTTTTTTTAAAAGAAGTAAGGCCTGTATATGAATAGATACATTGAAGCAGAAAAGGGAGATTACTGATATGCACTTCTTATTTTATAGAGCTACTTGATTACAAAAATCCTAATTTTGGGGGGAGGGGGGACNGGATCCGAACCCTCGGACGGGAGCACCACCGCGCTTCCCAAGCGGCGCACTATCCAGTGCGCCACCGGGCCGGCCTGGGAAATGTTTTTAATTGATGGCATTACTCTTGTTTCAAATGTTATATATTGTGATGAAAAAGGAAAGCTTTTTTTTTTAAAAAAAGTAAGGCCTGTATATGAATAGATACATTGAAGCAGAAAAGGGAGATTACTGATATACACTTCTTATTTTATAGAGCTACTTGATTACAAAAATCCTAATTTTGGGGGGAGGGGGGACAGCTGGTCAGTACAGGGATCCACACCCTTGACCTTGGTGTTGACAAAAATCCTAATTTAGATAACATTTCTCACCATTCAATATTAAAAACTTACCCTAGAGCTATCCATTCTCCTGCATTTCTGAACACTCTCATTCAAATCTATGAACCTTCACCAGTTCAGCACCCTGTGATATTCTACAACGGAAATTAAAGGGAAAAAAGGGAGAAAGAGAGAGAGAGCATGCAATCTCATACGTACATGAGCTGCCTGGACAACAGTGAGCCTCCGGGTACCGTCTGCCCATAGCGACAGTCAGCAGGGGCCTCGGCAGTTCCCAGGTACTCGGAAAGACTGAAATGGTTAGCTGGGGGGGGGGGGGGGGGGGGGGGGGAAGGTAGAAACAAAAGAGACTTAGGATAATGACCACATTTTTTTTCATTAAAATGCTACTGATGACCACAAATTTCCAGATAACCATATTTATGAATTATTCATAGTCTCATGTAAGCTGAAGTCTCCCTGTCACTGCAGGCAGGCACAGAACTTGCTGGTGATTAGCACATGACCCCTGGAATAGGTGTGACAGAAGAGTAGGTCACTGCATGTTTCTTCATGAGGCTCTCTTAAAGTCTAGGCAATCCCCCCCACATTTTGCAGATGGTTTTCATCTCATTCTTCCTTAACGTCAAGGAACAGCACTAGCCTGGCTCTTTGCTGTGAGATCTGAACTAATGAAAAGAGAATAAAAAAGAGAATAAAAAGAAAATAAGAATTTTCTGTATTGGAGAGGTTAGACATCAAATTGATTTTTTAAAAAACTTTTCATTGAAGTATACATAAATATAGAAAAATGCACACACCACAAGTGGACAGCTCAATGAACTTTTCTAAACTGAACATACCAAATCAAAAACCAGAACATTATGAGCACTGCAAAAGTTCCCTTCATGTCCCCTTCTAAAGGTAACTCCCATGTATAGATTACTTTTGTCCATTTTTGTGGCCATCACATTGATTTACTGGCATTATTAATTTTTCACTTAAAAAACATGCTGAACACCTATCAGACGCTAAGCACTGTGCTATGAGCTGGAGCTACAAAGATGAATAATACACCTTCCCTATCTCTAGGGAAAGTACAGTCTAGAGGGGCCGAGGGACACACAGAAACTGGCCCCCGTGGGGCAGGGGGATGAGCGTCCTGATTGAGACTCATGGAGCTACAAAGATGAATAATACACCTTCCCTATCTCTAGGGAAAGTACAGTCTAGAGGGACACACAGAAACTGGCCCCCGTGGGGCAGGGGGATGAGCGTCCTGATTGAGACTCATGTCAAGCAGGGGCACTTAGCACAGAAATGGAGAGGTCAGGGAAGTCTTCCAAGAAAACGAGATGACCAGCATGTCCCAAGGCAGGGTAGGAGTTAGCTGTTCTGGAGATGGGAGACGAGACAACGGAAAAGGCAGAGGTAAGACACTGCATGGTACAGCTCAGTGTCACTGGACACTCTCAAGGGTGAGGCCTGCAGTGTGAGGCCAGATGGCAACCTTGGATGCATATCAAAGAACCCTGACTTTATCCTGGCTGCAAACAGCCACTGATGGGCCAAATATGGGTTTCAGATACATTACTCTTCCTGGATGGATTTGAATGGGGCAGAGAGGAGGCAGGGAGACCAGTTAGGCCAGTTTGGTTGTTACAATCATCTAGACAGAAAAGGAAGGGTGGAAACTAGGGCAGCGGAAGCAGGTGAGGAAGGGGAGAGAAGAATCAGTTGTTGGAAACATCCAGAAGTGAAAAGTAGAACAACTTGGTTGACTACACATGGGTGGATGATAGTGACAACTGAGGTGGAGAATTCAAGGAAGGAATAAAAAAGACAAGGAGTTTAGTTTGGGCTATTAGAGACGAAGGCATAGAAGATCCAGGTGGGGATACCCAGATATTCTTGAGTACAAAGCTTAGGGAAGAAGCCTGAGCAAAATGTAAAAGCACATAAGTGATGACTATGTAGAGAGCAGCAGAGACCATATGATGACATCGCTAAAGGAACATGGGCAGAGTGAGAAGATTATAGGATTAGCGCTAAGAGTAGAACCCCAGAGAACACAAACAACGATAGCGCAGGCAGAGGAAAAAGATCTTTTCAAGAAGACCGAGGAAGAATGGCAGAGAGGTACCACAGGATGCAAAGAAACGAATAAGGATAAACAATGAAAAATATATCTTTGGATTCGGCATTTAAGAAGTCCCTGGTCACCCTGATTGAGGGCTGCTTTAGTGAGGTGGTGGAGGCAGAGACAATAGAACCAACAGAGCAGGGGGCAGAGCAGAGGAAGGAGAATGGACAGCTGCTGGAAGAGATTAAGTGCGGACAGGAGGACCCATCTACAGGCTGAAAGAATCAGGAGAGAGGGAGAGGTTGAGAGTATAAGAGGAAGGAGATAAAGGGGATTAGATCTCAAAAGAGGTGGGAAACGGGTCAGGAGTGCAGATGAAGGGACTGACCTTGAAGAGGGAAGGGGAATCCACAACCCTCTGTTATTAAAGAAGGGGAATAAAATAAACCTGGCTATAGTAAGTTTGTAATTAACAGCATCGGATGTTGGAGGCAATAGACCGCATGACATCAACATTCTTGAAAATAGTTGGCAAAGCTCTTTGCTGGGAATGAGGTGACAGGTAAATGGTTTGAGGACATAGATCTTGAAATTCTTGGTTTCTGGCATGCTATTCCCCCAAATTAAAGTAGTCCAACCCTGTTTTAAGGTAAACAATAACACGAGGGTACTTCAAAAAGTTCATGGAAAGATTTGCATTATCTTTCAATTCTGTTTTTCCATGAACTTTTTGAAGTAACCTCGTACATGCCAGTACATGTCAAGGTGGAAAAGGGCATCTGTGAGGTAAGTATACCCAGAGGAGAATTTTAAAGTATCAAAAAATACTATAGAAAGAAAACATTTAGAAAAAGGCTCTTAAAATGATCTTAAGTTTTGGGTACCAACCTGTCTAAAGGTTTACATATAGTTGCATTAAGCAAAACCACTATCCACTGGCTTACAAGACTTGAGATGCTCCAATTCAAAGATCCTTCCTAGCATGCCTAACCTAATAGAAATGAAAAAGAGCAGACATTCAAAAGTAAAGGCAAGAAGCCGTGGCACCTGCCCCCGAGACTTCCTAGCACAGTGCCTCTCAAGAGAGCAGCTGTGGCCCCCCACTTCAGTCTCCTGCACACTTTTCCACCTAGCGCTTTGGCAAATCCACAAATGAAGTGGAGTGACTTAGTTCTTGAAAAGTATCCCAGTAATGCCGAGACTTCCTAGCACAGTGCCTCTCAAGAGAGCAGCTGTGGCCCCCCACTTCAGTCTCCTGCACACTTTTCCACCTAGGGCTTTGGCAAATCCACAAATGAAGTGGAGTGACTTAGTTCTTGAAAAGTATCCCAGTAATGCCCAAAGTAGCAAGATTCATTAGAAACATAATGCAGTGGAAAACACCTTGAAAAGCAGCTTTTATGTTCTCCAAGCAGCCTTTGTGATCTCAAAAACTCTGAGGCTGCTCCACAGTTTGTTCTGTTAACATGGATGAGATCCAGGCCATCTTTGGGACTAGAGAGAATTTTAGAACGACGTTACCTTCACTGAAGTCAGCGAGGACAGAGGTAGTCCTAAGACATCAAATGCTGACTAACTAGACCATTCATCCTTGTATCCACAGGGCACAGGATATAGCAAGCAGTTGATAAATGTGGAATAAATTAATAAACCAATATACAAGTGAAGAATTTTCACAACTGAGAGGTAAGGAGGCCAATTAAAAAGTGAGAACAGAAAATAGCCTTTCGCTTTTTTTCCTACCTTAACTGACTCAAAGCAAAGCTGCAAATCACATTCAATTGCATTTGCTTTTCACAGAAGAAAATCTTTATGAACTCATAAGTAAAAATTGTGTGTTAAGTAGGAGGATTCAGAAATTATAAAAAGGAAAAACAGGATGCCTCTTAAATAGGAAAATAGGTAGGTACAAACATTTTGAGCATACAAAGATTGAAATTGTAGACTTCACATCTGTCTGCCTTTGTTGTTCTGTGTGAAGGACAGGACATCATTACTCTAACAGCATGGTGCCTCTCCTCCCAGATGCTCACTCAAATGACAACCTGCTTAGGTTTAACCCACAGGGGCAATAAGATAAATACTAATGAGATAATCAAGTCTTGCTTCTTTGAAAATTCTGAAAATTCACCTTGGTTACAGTTCTATGTTTTTGTCTTAATATATCTATTTCTATTACTCATCAGTTTACTCTTTTAGCACATAAGCCCTGAGGTATTGCTGATCATACTGAATGCATTTTAGATGCTACATAGCAGCACACCCTAGTATTTGTATGGAAATAACTTTAATGATAAAGTTTCCAAAAATGAGGGGTAGTTTTCTTATTCGTATGTACTATGTGACCTTTTTCTGAACTGTTAAAAATAACTTCATCCTGAAAACACCAAATCTCATTCTGCCCATCTGATTAGCAGTATCTCGAGAAAGAAACAAATCTTAGAGATTGTCATCCCTCTTTCTACTCTTAAGAATGCTGAGACCAAGACAAACAATACACTACTCACTAGAATGCAAGCCATCAAGGGGAGAAAGAATATATATTTGCCAGTCCACAAAGTGTTTAGTGTGCAGCTTTTTAATTACTATATTTATGGTACTATCCATAATGTATTCACTACCACAAATGCTTTACAAGGTCATTAATCCTCAACAAATACATTAATGCTTCCCTCCTCTTCTGCAAATTCTTATGCTGATGTGGAGCAAAAAATGCCAAGAATTCTCTCCAAAATAAACATCTCATGTCAACAGCCACTAGTTCTACTATCCTCATTTAACTATTCGAAGATGCTATAATATCTCTGCTTAAGTATTTGCTGCCATTGACCTAAAAGATGAATTTGTAAGCCAAAATTTTTAAAATGGTTTTGCTTAATGCAACATTTTTTTGGATATGAAAGGTGGTGCAAGATACTAAAATGGTTGCCTATGCTCCTCAAAAATAATACATTCTGTAACTCATTAAATTATAATTTTCTGCATCATTCTGCACTTACAATACAGTATAATTTCTGCTTTTTAGAAATCTCATGGAATAAAGGCTAGCCGGTTAGCTCACTTGGTTAGAGCATGGTGCTAACACCAAGGTCAAGGGTTCATATCCCTATTCTAGCCAGCCACCAAAAAAAAAAAAAAAGATTCCAATACAGAAATCTCAAGGAATAAGACACTGAGAATAATCAAAATTTTCATATTAGTTTAAGGACTACCTATCTTAAGCATTAAAATGGGTTTAATTT